TGCACAGCAGAAGATGACCAAGACATACATGGATATCATCAAAGCGCGTCGCGCATCTGGTGATAAGAAGGACTCCGAGGATATGGTCTGGAACCTGATGTCGTGCACCTATAAGAATGGCACCCCGATTCCCGATGAGGAAATTGCCCACATGATGATTGCCTTGCTTATGGCGGGCCAGCACTCTTCGTCCTCTACTGCTGCCTGGATTGTTCTCCGCCTGGCCACCTGCCCTGAGCTTGTGGAGGAGCTTTACCAAGAACAAATCCAGATTCTGGGCTCTGATCTGCCTCCTCTCACCCACGAAGGACTCCAGAAGCTCGACTTGCACTCTAAGGCGATCAAGGAAACCCTCCGTCTCCACGCTCCTATTCACTCGATCATTCGCGCCGTCAAGAACCCTATGCCCGTGGAAGGCACTTCTTTCGTTATCCCTACCACTCATAATGTCCTCTCTTCTCCTGGTGTTACTGCTCGCTCTGCGGAGTTCTTCCCTGACCCTCTGAAGTGGAACCCCCACCGCTGGGATGAGGTTGATCCCGAGACTATCAAGGAAGATGAGGAGCAGATCGACTATGGTTATGGACTGGTTACCAAGGGTACCAACAGTCCTTATCTGCCTTTCGGTGCTGGTCGCCACCGCTGCATTGGTGAGCAGTTTGCTTACGTGCAGCTGGGTACAATCCTAGCTGCGCTGGTTAGACACTTCAAGTTCTCCACGCCTAACGCCGATACACCTTTTCCCGAGACAGATTATTCGGTAAGTGATGCTCTGTCACGATCAAGTTGGCGTTTGACTAACCATACCCTAGTCCCTCTTTTCTAAGCCTCTCGGTACATCCTTTGTTCAGTACGAGAAACGTGGAGTCAAAGCATGATCGGAGTTATGTTTTAGAAAAGATGTCCATTTAAATTTTGTTCACATTTTAATGCCCTGCATTGATGCAGCAAAGGTTCAGACTGAACTTGAGCCGAGTTCACTAGGTGGATTCGACAACTCTAGCATCATCGATTTCTTTCTTTCTTCACTTTGAGACGATTCTGCTGTATGAATACTTCACTTCTCGCGACTTGGAATCGCATGTTTCTCTAAATTTTTACATAACTCAATCATATCATTTTAATCAGACATAACAAGACCTCACTTATTTCCCTCACAAAAATTACCTAAAAAAAAATATGGAAATGAAATCATGATTGCAATAGTATAGTACAGTTTGAATTTGAACATCCAGGCTCAACAAGAAATATGCAAGATACACAAAGTGGTATTTCACCGTTCATATTCACGCCTTCTTTCTCTCATCCAGCCTCTTCTTGTTCTGGACCTCCCGACGTCGTCGCTCACCACCGTCGATCTTCTGTCCTCGTCTGTCCTCCCACATGCCCTCCTGGACCGAAATGGTAGCAGCAGTACCATTGGAACCCTTCAAAGGCTGAAGGAACGGACCCATGGGCTGACAGCCACGGTGAATCTTCATGTGTGCAAATTTTTTGATCATTTGTGTTCTAGCATATTTGTATGCAGTGGCATCAGGCGCCAGGTTGACAATGGCTTTCACCATGCCAGGTGACAGCGTAGCGGAAGAGGTTTGAAGGGCCACCTTTGTGCCTTCATGTGTCAAGCCTCTTGCATTGATAGGCACTTCAACAACCCGCAATTGTGCAACACCATCGACCACATTCTCCAGATCACCTCCAGGGCCGTACAGTCCGTTCCTGAACTTCTCACGCTTCCGGATCAGGTACCGTCGCTGGCGGGCTGGCTCAATGCCGGCTTGGCGGAGCTGGTTGGAATTTAATGTAAAAAGATCTTCCCATGAGGGAATCTTGCTCGCTTGCTTGGACATTTCACGACCGATCAGCGTGAGGAAGGTCTGGACGTCGGGAACGAAAGGGGTCGGAGATGGCACGGGCGGGGGCGCGTTCTGGTGGAGTGATCGAATGTATTGGTTGGAAACTGACACAGGCTTAAATACGCGTGCTGTCAAGCTTCCTAGTGGTAAATTGCGCATTGCCATGAGGCTCATGGTGAAGGTGTTGCGGGAAGGATGCCGCAAGCCCCGACTTTGCTGGCAACTCTCAAGCTTTTTTTCGTTTTTGGAAAATTGAATTCGTAATTGGTATCGTTGGAGGACTGCTGAGCAATGCCTTTGAAATTGACGGGTTTCCAGCAATTGCTAGCGGGTTGGCTGGGAGATCGCGGTTGACTTGACTTGGAGAAATTTCGGGCGTCGGCAGCAAAGTCCAGGATCAACAATACTCCGAGCCTATGGGGAAATGACCCTCAACGTTTTGACACTGCCCTCACCTCATATTTTTGCTAAAGATAATTTTTTACTATCTATCACAACCACTGAGTACCTGTGGCTAATTTATAAACTCTTGTCGCTCTCTTTAGTTCGATCTTTTCACCTTCAACCTCCTCTAATCATGGCAGTTTCACCCTTTGGCTCTCGTTCACCAGCTATGACTGTGCATTCCCCAAATCCAGCAATCAGACTGAGAGCTACTGTTGCACAAAAATCACTTAATGGACCTGCAGCTGCAACTATGTCAAAATCTGTGCAGAGTGGGGATCGCGAACTCACTGAACAACTGAATATTAATGTCCGGGAACGATACGTCAAAGGTATTTGAACATTGCTATATCATTTTCCAGGGGCCATATGCTAACAAAGAACCAGACAAGAAAGTAGGAGAAGGTACATATGCCGTAGTATATGTCGGTCACCTTCGACACGATCCATCCTCCCTTGTTGCGATCAAGAAAATCAAAGTCAACGCCGAATACAAGGATGGACTTGCTATGGATGCTGTTCGCGAAGTGAAGTACCTCCAAGAGCTGAAACATCCCAACGTCATTGCCCTCCATGATGTTTTCTCCTCCAAAGATCAAAATCTAAGCTTGGTTCTTGAGTTTCTTCCTGGTGGAGATCTTGAGATGCTCATCAAAGATACTGATATTCACTACGGTGTAGCCGATATTAAATCTTGGATGGGTATGCTTGCCCGGGGTGTATGGTGGTGCCATGAGAACTTTGTTCTTCACCGGGATATCAAGCCCAACAACTTGCTAATCGCGTCAGATGGGGAGGTCAAATTGGCCGATTTCGGCCTCGCTAGATCCTTTGCCGATCCCTCGTTCAACATGACCCATCAGGTCATCACTCGGTGGTATCGGCCACCCGAGCTTCTCTACGGTGCGCGACAATACTCCGGTGCGGTCGATGTTTGGTCCATGGGGATGGTCTTTGCTGAGCTCCTGCTACGGGTTCCATTTGTAGCGGGCAACACTGACCTGGATCAAACCTCTAAAATCTGCGAAGCGTTCGGCACACCCACGGAGGAGAATTGGCCTGGGGTCAGCAAGCTGCCTTACTACATTGCCACCGACAAGGCTCATTTGGTGCCGTTGCAAGGGCGCGATTTCTTCACGCGACAGTTCCCCACTGCAGGTCCGGTGGGCGCCGATCTGCTCATGTCGATGTGTGCGCTTGACCCACGCAAGCGTAGTACGGCCGTCCAGTGCCTGCGGCACAATTGGTGGATAATTGAACCCCGTCCGACCAAGAATGAAGATCTCCCGCGGAAATCTGGTGGGACTAGAAAGATGGGAGATGATTTGACCCGACGTGGTGGCGAGCTGGATGAGGGTATGTTCAAGAGTGCTGCCCGACAACTGGATTTCAGTGTGAAATAATGACACAATAAAAACATAATACAATGTACGATACAGATAAAGAGAGAGAGGGAAAAAAAACAACCTTAATGTTAATGGTTGCCACCTCGGCCGAGATGCTTCCACTTATAAAATACTTTGTACTCCGTAGATGTAGATATATACACTGGGTCACGAGACAATGGGATGTAAATGAGGATCAACGCCAGATTAATTTTAATTTTGGTCTAAATGTCAATCTTTGCTTAATTCGAATAATAGTACCCGTTGTTGTTGTTGATTCCCGAACAGGAGTTCATCCCAGGGTTCACCTTTATAGGGGGAGATATACTCCTTCAACCCCGAAGGGCAGACAGGCAACAGGACAGTATAGGTAGGGCAGGGCAAAATAGGACAATAGCACAACAGGACCAGCTCCGATTTCCAGATCCTTCAAGTCAAAATCATGATTGGGGTCCACCTACGGAGTACAAAAGAACTGCAAGCTTAAGCACCTCATTCGCCCCCTTTTTCCCTCAACCTCCCGAACTTGAAACCTCCACTCTCAGCCTATCATTGGGCATGAGATGCTCCGAGCTTCCTAGGGAATGGCTCCTACGGTTTACGTCTAGAGGGTGATGGTAATCTGCCGCCCCCTCTCCCCCCCCCCCCCCTATTTTTTGGCTTTGGTTCTATGATTCATTAGGGGGTATATATGGGAGAAGGAGTAGTAGAGTACGGAGTACATTCTAAGCTATAGTGAGTTTAGGGAAGGGATAGAAGGAGGAAAGAGGAGAAAGATTTTATAGGAAGCCATAAAGATATATAATAGGTGTTAGAACACTTAAATAACATAAATAAACATAAAATAAAAATACATTAGGTAGTCTGGTCGTTCGCTCTCTCTATTTCTCTCTCTGTGCGGGGATTTGATACGCCCTTTTCTCTTCTCTCTACCTCATTGCTTAGACCGTCTCTTGCATCTTCATCTTTTACTTTTATTTTCATCCTCTCCACTTCTTCCCGTCACGATTACAACATTGCACGTTTGAATCTGTGAGTTCCCGAGACCTCGCGCCAAAATCACAAAATCATAACATCATAACATCCGTGTTATCGTGTTTTGATCTCCGAGACGAGCCAAAAGAGTCATCGTTCTTCTCTCTCAACATCTCAAGGGGCCCAATATTTTATGTCTCAATTCGTTTGGCTAACTGCAATAAAAACAGCACAGGCTCAATCCCGTCGGTCTGCCAATCTGCTATGGCCATCGCGTTCACAGATTCCTATTGAATCCCCATTTCGCGTTTAAAAAGAAAGGTTTAAACACAAAGTCGCCATGACCTCAATGACAACATTGCCGCAGCCCTCGCAGCTGTCGCGGCCAGTTTCAAACCCCCCAGCTGGATCATTACCGCCTATCCCCAACCCTAAACCCAGAAAGTCTACATCTTCCGACACACCACGGGCTGCATCTCCCTATCAAGCCTCCAAATTACGGACCCCATCCAGCCCTAAACCATCGCTCAAGTCACCTCTATCAACTTCAAACTCAACCTCCAACCTAAATGCAGCCCGGTCAGCTTCCGGTGGGCGCACTCCGAGTAGTCCCGACAAATCTTTGCGCCGAACAATTAGTATCGCCTCGTTTCCTCAACCACCAAAGACCAGCAGCCGCCCATCCACTGCATCATCAATCTCTGGGATCCAAGGAATTCAAGGTGCAACCTCTAGTGTGCGACCCCAAAGAAACTCGCGACTAAGCACAGGAACAACGAGCAGCTATCGGAGCTCGAAAACCCCATCGTTACTTAACGGTAGTGGCGAGGGGAAATTTATATCAAGTGGAGATGCGCGAGATCCAGAAGCGTCTCCAACTCACAGCAGAAGTTCTTCCGCTCAAGGTTCTTGCTCAACGAGTGCGACGACTTTTGAGGATGCAGATGATGCGATAGGAAAATCAAATTCTAAGCCTAAAGAGATCAAGGGCAATGTGCTTGTCAGCGTGCGCGTTCGTCCTGACAACAATAGCGGAGGGGAGACTCCAAGAAATCATGGCGAATGGTCCATCGATAGTCGGCAAAGCCTCATCTCATACCGTGGGAAAGAAGGAGGCGATTACTTTTATGGTGATAAAGATGCTCCTCTCACTTGCCCAACTGTCGCAACTAACCGTCGAGCAGATAATGTCTTTAATCCACAAGAAAACAATGCCAAGGTTTATGATTCGGCTGCCAAACGCCTCGTCCGGCGTGTCATGGAGGGCTATCATGGAACGGTCTTTGCTTATGGTATGACGGGAACCGGGAAAACCTTTTCTATGCAGGGAACAGCAACTTCCCCCGGTGTAATCCCGCTCGCGATCACCGACATTTTTTCATTCATCAGAGAGACCCCACATCGGGAGTTCTTGCTGCGGGTCAGCTATCTGGAAATATACAACGAGAAGATTAACGATCTTCTTTCCGCTTCCGCTGCCAACGGTCCCGCAGGAGCCCCGCAGGAGGAAATCAAATTGAGAGAGGACAGCAAACGTGGAGTATATGCAACGCCTCTCAAGGAAGAGATCGTCCAGAGCCCCACACAACTCCTCCGTGTTATCGCCCGAGGTGACCATGCACGACGAACGAGCAGCACCCAGTTCAATGCGCGCAGTTCTCGAAGTCATGCGGTGGTTCAGATCGTGGTCGAGAGTCGAGAGCGAGTGCCCACTAGCAGTGCTCAAGATAAGCGCGCCGGGATTGCCCCGGGTGGTGTGCGAGTTTCAACTTTGAGTCTGATTGATCTAGCTGGCTCTGAACGTGCAGCTGATGATAAGGAACGCCGTACCGAAGGTGCTCATATCAACAAAAGTCTGCTCACTCTAGGTACCATTATTTCTCGGCTATCGGAAAACAAGGATAAGCAAGGCAACCCTACGGACCGCGATGGGAGGCATTTGCCTTATCGAGATAGCAAGTTGACCAGACTCCTGCAGCCAGCCTTGTCCGGCGGCTCGCTTGTGAGTATTCTGTGCACTATTCAATTCACGAGCGCAGTCAATTCGCATACCGGTGAAACTCTGAATACCATGAAATTCGCTGCGAGGGCGAAGAATAATATTGTCAGTCACGCCAAAAAGGCTGAGGAGGCATACGGCGGTGGTGGTAGTGATTCCGGAAGTCGGGTACTTCTTGAGCGGTATCGTATGGAGATCCAGGCTCTTCGCAGCCAGCTTGACACCCAGGCCAAATCCCAGGCGGAGAAGGAACTCAAATGGGACGAACAGCAGTATGAAAAGGAAGCACAGGCCCGACACGAGGAGCAGGTGCTGGAAATGCAGTTGGCTCGTACTGCGCTCAAAGAGCGGATCGAGCATCTCAATCGCCTGATTTTGAGCTCTAAGTCTACTGGTGTAAACAACCATAACAGCCTCTCTGCGTTTGGACGTCTTTCCCGCATGTCTGCGACGGATTCTGGTGTCCGGTCATTACGTTCTTCCGCCAGCCAATCCACGCTGGGTGCCGGCCATTCATCGATTCGGCCCATCTCATTCATGTCTGTCAATAGCAACGATCCCTCGTCAGGCATGCTCTATCCCGGAGGATCGTTCGGCAATGAGGACGAATATGACCTTGGTGAATTTGGCGATGGCAAAGCCAGCTTGCAACGACAGGTCACTGCGCTACAAGCCGATATTGGCGATAAGAACCGGTACATCTCTACTCTGGAGCGCCGGCTGCTCCAGGCAAGACGATCCAGTCATTCTCGAATGTCAGTAGGCATTAAGACTGCAAGTACCACAATTGCCGAGCATCCAGATGTCTCGGCTTTGGTTCGTGAGAAAGATATGGAGATTAATGAGCTTCGGCTGCAGCTGGATGATAAGGATCGCATGCTTGCCGCGCTTCGATCCGCAGCTCGGCATCGAGACTTGGCTGCTGTGACCAATGACTCGCAATCACCAGAGCTGAAGAGCAAGAGCGGGTCTACAGCTGGAGATGCAGACAGTTTTGCAGGGACCAATGGCTTTATTGCACAATCCGAGAGTCCAATCAAGCGTCTCTTGTCTGATAGGAGTGAAAAGGAGGAGGCAGGAAAGAATATGGACGAGGTCTCACGCATGCTGGAGGAAATGATCCAGAGTCGGGCAGAAAATGTGCACAACACTAAGCACAGGAGCATTGCTAGTGAAAGCCGACGAGTATCCTCTTCAGCGGAAGTGCCAGGTCTAAATCCAACTGCTCCCTCATGGGATCCAAGCCTCAGCCCATCATTCCGAGGATGAAAAACTTAATGCGTTGTTTTTCTCTTTGTTTTCTTATGCTTTCGCGCAAGCTCTTTGCTTTTGTCTGATCTGATACCCAATAGGTTTACTTTATCGCGCATGTATTTAATCCAAACTACATTTGGGGATCGAGTGTATGAATTTGTTTCTGGCTTATTTCACTATATGCTGCTGTATAATATACCTATAAAAGGTCTACATGTTGTCATAGTAGACTGGTCAAACGGTATACATAGTGGATATATTATTATGAGATGATCTCCAACTCGCCTTCTCTGTCTTTAGCATAGACATCCTTCCACTGATTCCACAACCGCATCAGCTCCTCCACGTATCGAGAATGGAGTTCATCAATATACTGATCGTTGATCTTGTCGCGGTTCTTCTGCTGCATAACCGGGATTGGTCGTCCGACCACAATATTGAGGGGGGTTCGATAGGGCATCAGTCCGACGTCGTAGTTGAAAACCCCGCGTGCATGGAAGAGGGGAATGGTGAATCCTAAAGTCTGTTTCACAAGCATCTGAATCCTGTGAATGATGGGATGCTGGTCTGAGTCTACTTGATCATAGAGATCATTTTCGCCAAAGGCCAAGACAGGCACTAGATCAGCTCCAGTTCGAATTGCGAGCTTGACAAACCCTTTGCGTCGTTTCAACACGAGACGTAAGGAGTTAGGCTGAGCATTGAGAGATTCCCGGGCACCTCCCACAACAATCGTAATTGCTCGCCCCATACCCTCTCCATCTGCACCTCCTTTGGTGAGGATATTCTCACAGGATTCCCGGGAAACACTGGCAATTCCCATGGCAAGTGCGTACTCACGGTAGAAAGGAATGCGGAAATTCGCGTCCAGCGTCAGCAGAGTGTTGGTGATTCCTGGAAAAAGCTTGGAGAAGCCCAAAGCTTCCGTCCCAAATGCGGCAAAGGCGCCATGTGAGATAATACCGTGTGGGTGGTATCCAAATATATACTTCTTTGTAGGTGGGAGCGACTCCTCGCGGTGAAGACAGGCAGGGAAGTAAGATGCATACACTTTCCAGATAGGAAGCGAGCGTAGAAATGGGCTGCGTCCCTTGAGCTGGCCCGATGTGGCAGCAGTAGAGAAAAGAGATATGTAAACGAGATATGGGACCAAGAGTGGCCAGGACAACGGAATAGCGCAGGTAAAGAAAAAGATGGTTAAGAAAATAGCGATGGTCAAAGTGTGGCATAGCACCACAAATGTTTGTAGGCGTCGCTCAAGACCAATATTCAAAGGCGCCCAGTGGATGCTGTATGGGGTCAGTTATAGGTAAATTGAAGAATTGTTGGACATGTCTTACTGTCTTCTTCCACGACTAGACTGAGATGTAGGTGCCGAGGCACGCCCAGCTGACTGAGTCTCTCCATTCATTGTTGTATGGAGGATAAAAAGTCTTCTAAAGTGACAGAAATTCTGCACAGCTCCCTGTTTTAGCTCTCGTGGCAATGCGAGAGATGCTAAAGCTGATGCAGCCAGATATTGGAGCTGCGGTACCCCCGGAAGAAGCTCTCCGTTGAGGGTTCGGTGCAAGTGATCTGTACAACTTTGCTTAGGATGTGAGTCAGGATTGTGCACCCCCTCCCCAATGCTAAAGAATCAACAATTAGTGGTATACGTTAAGTTGTCTGGATATGACGTTGGATGTGGATACCCGCAAGGCACCCAGAAGTCCAGCTTAGGTAATTCATATGTTTGGCCCCAGGGGCATCCATATCAGCTCCGAAGGTGCATAGAGCATTTGTTGACATATACAATAAGTACATTATATATATGTATACAGTACAATAATAACCCTGGAGATCGGATAAGACTTATTTTATCATGTTCAGTATTGGAATTCTTTTGATTCATAGGATATATCTAGTTCAAAAAGAGAAAGCATAAAAAGTGCAAACACCAATAACTCCAAGTTTTATGTTCAATGCGCTTCAGGTGCGGATGTGCATAATCTCTATGCTTTGATCATGAAGATCTGATTCATATCAGCAAACAGGTTGTAGAAAATAGTTGCTGCATAGCTTACCTCGTTGAGAGACTTTTCGTCCATAATAGCTCTCTTCTTCTGCGCAATATGGCGTGACCGAGTTACATTCCGTCCCATAGGCCGTCGCTCCCTGGATATTGTTGCTGCTACTTTGACTTCTGGTTCAGATGTCTTGCCTGAAGACTCACTCTCGGAATCAGCCTTTCTCTTTTTGGACTTCTTTTTCTTCTTTGATTCCGAACTTTGTTCGTTGCCATCCGGTTCGTCTCGAGAGCGCGATTTCTTAGATTTGGATTTTGACTTGGACTTAGATTTGCGGGCTGGGGCATCCGATTCGCTTGAATAAGTTTCGTCATCTTCGGTGGGTTTTGTGCGCTCTTTCTTGTCCGATTTGAATTTCTTGGGTGTTTCGTCCTTTGGGGTCGGTTGAGGAATCTCGATTTCCTTTTCCTGTGTCAACAGTCCAGCGCTGACGAACCTGACTTCCGGGAACTTCAGGGCAGCATATCGAGCCAATCGAACGTCATCACGCTTTTGTTCATCCTTCTTAAGCTCTGTTTCAGTCTTGCCATTAAGTCGACCAAGCAATCCTTTGAAGGCATCAAGTCCAGTTGGCTCAGTCTCTCTTCCAATACGAGCACCCAATCCGAGATTATCGTCCTTGAGGATTACTTTGATATGGGAAGCGCTGGCGGCGGTCAGCAAATTTGCGTGGGCGGCATCTTTTGCTCCCAGAAGACTTCCAGGAGTCCAGCCCTGAGAGCTCATAATCCGATGTCCGAACCCTGTTGTAGACCGAGTCCATTTGGTGTTATTGGGATCATTGCCGATTTTGGTACTCCTACCCACGTGTTAGAAAATCTTGTTTGAAATAATTAGGTTAAGTAGCATACTTCCGCGGCCCTGCTAAGCCCATGGTGACAATATGGATCAAGCGGTAGTTGGAGATTGACGAAGGATTAAAAAAAAAAAAAAGGTTGAGATGAGCGGGATGAGTAAGCAACTGATAAGGCCAGCCCTGGCTCCCCCGACCTCGCGGGGAGAACAGAGACCTCGGGAGCTCTCGACAACTTCATCTCAACTCAACAATAATTCTTATATTCTAATTTTTTATTTTTTTTTTGGGATTCTGTTGCGGATATTGAGGTTTGAAGGTATTTCTTCACTTTATTTCAGGCTCTTGGAGTGAAGTTGTTCTTCTCTTGAGATATAGAAATCGCTGAAATAGGATAGAACTATTGATGTGGAAATCAGCAATGCCACTGCTTCTCCCCACGTCTTAATTTCTCTCGTCGAACGCCGCGATATTGTTCAGGGTTCGTCATGTCGAATCTCCGGGTTCTCTGTCGAGATCAACCCCAACGTACAATTGCACTGGTCTCGTCAGACCATGTCCTAGTGTTCCACTACACATCAGATACCGGTGCGAAGGAGAGCCCACGTTGTCAAGTTGAGTTCTCGGACTTAGGGGCAGTGGATCTGGGAGGCTATAGGTCGTTAGGATATGGATATGGTACTCTTGGCCTTGTTACTCTCAATGAGGATGTGTTTGTCTGCGTCGTCACTAGCTCTTCGCAAGCTGCCACCGTGAGACCCGGAGAAACTGTGTCAAGAATTGACAATGTAGGCTTCTGTATGTTTCCTATACGAGATTTTGATCGAATTATTACTAAGGAAATCAGATTGTCTCAACCGTTCAGAATACGAGTATGGCCTAGACCATGAGACCGAGTCTGAATTCGCCGCTGGCACGGATGGGAAGGATATGGTAACTGACCATCCTTTTCTGGCATTGAAGAAGCTCCTTGGGGATGGAAGTTTCTATTACAGTCTCAATTTCAACCTTACAGATCGCCTACAGGACCGGTGAGTTTTCAGCTCCTTGCTCTTCACTAGCTGATCTCTCTCAACTAACAATTTTGCAAGGGCCGACAAATCTGTGGCATTCGACATCGACACCCTTGATGAAGCTATGCTGTGGAATTCTTATATGATCAGTCCACTTCTCTTGTTCCGGAGCCACTTGCCGCCGTCAGATAAAGCCAAATTAGATGCATCGCAGATGTTAACCTGTGTTATCCGCGGGTTTGCTAGCACACTCAAAGTACCAGCGACGGTCTCAATTCTTCCTCATGTGCGGACAAACTTTCCTTCAATGTTGACAATCATATCCCGACAATCCTCCCGACGTGCGGGTACGAGGTTTAATTCGAGAGGTATTGATGATGATGGGAACGTTGCCAATTTCGTGGAAACTGAAACTATTCTTTGGGTTGCACCGGGCATTGTATTTTCATATGCTCAAGTCCGAGGCTCGGTGCCTATTTTCTGGGAACAAGCTCCAGGTCTTATTCCGGGCCAGCAAAAGATTGAGGTCACGCGGTCGAGCGACGCAACACAGCACGCATTCAACAAACATTTTGAATCCTTGGAGTTGGAGTATGGTGCAGTACATGTGGTAAATCTGCTAAGTGAGCTGAAACCCGGGGAAGCAGAGTTGTCATCCAAGTTTCGACAGCACATCAACAAAAGCTCGACCCGACAGAAAGAAGTTGATGGGACGTCTCCACGTCGGAGCCTCTTGCGAATAACTGAATATGATTTTCTTGCTGAGACCCGAGGTCCTTCAGGATACGAAGCCAGTTCCCAAATCAAGCATGAGCTTATCAACTCATTAGACGAATTTTCCTATTTTTTATCTGAAGATTCGGGTCGTCCTAACAAAAAACCCTATGACGGAGGTGATGCAGTGAACAATTCTTCGATCATTCTACAGCAAGAGGGTGTTTTTCGGACCAATTGCCTGGATTGCCTGGACAGAACAAACCTCGTCCAGACTATTATTAGTTCGATGGCACTTGAATCCTTTTTATCGCAGCAAGGCGGTAGGCTCAGCTCGGACATGCAGGTTCGGCATTCGACCATTTGGGCTGACAATGGTGATGCTCTTTCGAAAATTTATGCCGGGACCGGTGCCCTCAAATCCTCTTTCACCAGACACGGAAAGATGTCACTTGCAGGTGCACTTGCAGATGCACGGAAGAGTGCCACTCGGCTTTATGTCAACAATTTCACAGACAAAGCCAGACAAAAGACGATTGACCTTCTTTTGGGGAGACTAACAAATCAACTTCCTGTATACCTCTACGATCCAATCAATGATTTAGTGATTGAGGAATTGAACCGCCGAACTCCAGAATATTCTTCGCGCAAACAAGTCCGGTTCTGGGTCGGCACTTTCAATGTGAATGGACGCGATGAAGGTCCAGGTACTGATCTCACCCCGTGGCTTTTTCCAGAGTCGGATGAATCCGACGAAGATCCGGCAATTTTTGTTGTCGGATTCCAGGAAATTGTTGTTCTGAGCCCTCAACAAATTATGTCCACCGATCCTAGTACCCGCAAGGTCTGGGAACGAGCGGTTCGCGATTGTTTGAACGCCCATTCGAAGATGAAAGGGACTGGAAAATATGTGCACCTGAGAAGTGGCCAGTTAGTCGGCGCTGCTGTTTTGCTTTATGTGAAAGAAGATTCACTAAAGTACATCAAGAATGTTGAAGGCAGTGTAAAAAAGGCAAGTCATTCCGGATTTTCGAAGGGGTTGTTCCAACTAACTGATATTCAAAGACCGGTCTCTCCGGGATTGCTGGCAACAAGGGAGGCTGTGCTGTTCGCTTCGACTTTTCTAACACGAGTGTTTGCTTCGTCACAGCCCATCTTGCGGCCGGGTTTGCAAACTACGATGAGAGAAACAGGGACTATGAGATCATCGACCGGGGGTTGAGATTTCAAAAGAATCGGTCAATCGCTGACCATGACGCAGTGATCTGGTTGGGTGATTTCAACTATCGAATTGGATTGGGCAACCCAAGCGTAAGAGAGCTCATCTTGCAGCGGGACTACCAAAGGCTATACGACAACGATCAGGTAAGTCAAACATCTTTTGGGTACCCGAGATTGGTCTAACAACAAATACAGTTGAACCTGCAGATGGTAGCGGGCAGGGTGTTCCGGTTCTACTCAGAAGGCCCAATTAAGTTCCCGCCCACTTATAAGTACGATGTCGGAAGAGACAACTATGATACATCGTAAGTGCCCCCATGATTCTAACCAAGAGGCAACTAACATATGGCAGTGAAAAGGCACGAATCCCTGCATGGTGTGATCGAATCTTATGGAGAGGGAGCAACCTGCGGCAAACAAACTATCAAACTGCAGATTTGAAAGTGTCAGACCACCGCCCAGTCTGGGCAACCTTTGATTGTGTTATTGATATCGTCGACCATGCACTAAAAGAAAGTCTCAGGCGATCAATATATGGGGAGAAACAAGACCATGGTCACAATTCTCTTGCAGACTCCGTCTCTCTTTTGGACTTCGACGATGAGGAAAATACACATATCTCTATCGCGCCTGGGCTGCCACCAGCAAGCTCTGACAGAAGCCGATGGTGGCTAGATAATGGTGAGTGTTTCGACCAGTGAATATAGTGGGTTCGCTAACGCATGATAGGTGCTTCAGTAAAAGCAACAGTACAACCACCAAAGCAAAGGTATATTCCAAATCCTCAACGCAAATCCAATCCATTTTCTGCAGACGTGGATTGGGTACCAAGGCCAGACTCAATAGAGAACAAAAACACCGACCCTCTTGAAGTTACAAGGAAGAAGCCCATGCTACCTCCGCGACGTGACACTCTCGAATCACCCACGGGGTCTTCATCACCTCGGGCAGTTGAAATTGGGAAAACTCCACCTGCTGTTCCCCGTAAACCGCTATCACTAAGTTCTCAGACAAAAATTGGGACAATATCACCTAGCGGTCAACACACATCGCGGCAGAACAGTCCAGGGAGTGGCGTGACACCCAGTACTCGCTCTACAGATCTTCTCGGTGACTCTGCAAGTGAGAAGATCGAGTGGAAACCGCTTCTTCAATGACAATTTCCATTGATATATCCGGACAGATACAGTCTCTTATCTGATAGATTCTACGGAGTAGCGTATTATAATGTCGAATGTTCACATTGATAAGCCAAAATCGGTATTAAAAAAACAGACATTCTGCTACGCATCAAAGTAGCTGCATCGCTGACACCTTCATATTATTAGGCATGTCTTTGTAGCTCAAGGGCTAACTCGGCACCTCCCCAGCCCCCGAAGATGTCCCGACCTCGAGAGGTTCCACCTGGGCAAGCTTGGAAGGAACCTGACTAAGATGACTAAGACTGATGTCATTTCTGACCGCCCTTTCTAATGCTTCACGCCGCCTTTGGAATGTTTAATTCCCTGTATACTCCATATATACGGAGTGCTTCGGGTATGTATGTATATATATATATATATATATATACATACACACATATAGGAATGGATATTTACCTTCTATAAACACCAAAATAAGTACGAATGGTGTGTATCTTGTGGTACTTACTAAAATTGGATCGAATCAAGCTATTTTCTCTATCCCTATATTTGTCTATACCAGTTTCCTTTTTTTTTGAAGAGAAGATATCAGAGCAACGGAGTATAATGCTAAATCCATTGGGTCGAAAGCTTTGACTATAAATATATTCTGCTCATCCCATAGCGCAGTTAATCTAGGGATGGGACTTGATTTCAGGGGTTTTATTTTTTCCCCCTCAAAAAGTGTATAACTAAAGTATTACTTTGTAGTAACGTGTCTCCAAAAAAAAAAAAACGTGGCCTTTTTTTGCCGGCATATTCACTGTCTTGAATCATCCCTTCCCCATCCCACCTATCTCACTCTAATATATCCCCTACATAACTCCATCATGGTAGGTGCAAAGGTTGCAATATTGCCATGGATGATTATTAACACATGTCAGGCGCAAACACCACAGCAACGTCGAGCAAATGACCGCTTCGCGAAGACCGAGGCCGCGAAGAGAGGAAAGGCACCAATCACAGTTAAACCGAAGAAGAACACAAAGTCGCCCCTTTCAGCAAGCTGGGTTGGTATGTATCGAACTGTACCGTTGGATTGAACTATGCTGAATATTTCCCAGTGTTACTTGCTTTTGTTGTATGCGGTGGTCTTCTGCTAGAGCTCCTACGAATTGTCCCTGATCTCTTGTCCACCGTGATCTCATGGTTCACCAAGTTCACAGGATAAAATGGACTTCAAGAAATTATTTCCTACTACGCCAATACCCTAGCTTACAAACTTCCGACATGTTTCGAGTCAGCTTGACCGATCATTCCTCATACTCCTATCCGATCACCCAACTCACGAGTGGTCAATCGACCAGAGAACAAGTTGAGGACAAGCGAATATCAAAATCAAAATGGTTTGCATGTCACAGAGCTCTTTTCTTTTGAAATTTGTATTATTGATTCTATCTTACCGTTACTGCTTGACCCAAATACCACATGTGTTGCAATATTTACACCGGCCCGAAACATAGTCAATTCTCGCCTGGTAACTTCTCTGATTCCTGCGCCTTCTTCTTTCTCTTCTTCTTCTTCCCTATCGCAGACTCCGCAAGTTTCTCGGTCACCGTGCCAACATCTCCATCTGATGCAATGTGCTTTTTCGTCTTCTTCTTTTTTTTTGACGAGAGTTCCTTCTGCCGGAGTGCCCTCTAGTTGGATTCGCTCCGATGCTCGCTGCATCCGCAATCGTACTTCCTCCACTTGTTGCATTGCTCGGGCCATTTCTGCGTCCCCTTCATCTGCAGAAACTTGAGGATATGGCCCTTTTGCCAGAGGCAAATTTCCTAGGCTGCTCGAGTCAACCTGAAGTAAGGAGCGCTTATAAGTGGGGTGGTCATCACCAGTACCCTTGGGCCTAGAGGTGTCTGTTAAAGAGATTGGGGTTTCAAAGGTCTCATCACCAGCAACGACCAATTTGCCCACAGGGATTCGACGACTTCTTTGGCGATCGAAATCAACATGGCTAAGCTTTTCATTTCCCAACTTCAAGTCAACTATGGGAATTGAATCAATGTCCAAGACTTCACCATTGGATGTGTTCAGAGCTTCATGGAATGGGGTAGACATGCCAGACGACTCCCCGGAAGGAGCAATATAGAAGGGATCATCCTTGAAGCGTTCCCTACGCTCGAGCATTCTTCTTTGTACTGCAGTAGAGGATTCCACCGGAGCATCAGTAAAGTTTTGATATGACGCATGGGGCTGCAAATCAACCAATGCAAGATCACGACCCTGCTTATTGGGTGACGAGAGTTCAGGAAGATGATAAAAGTCTGACGTTTCCCAAGACTTTGACTCATACGATGATAAGCTCTCCAGGTTGTGAAAAAGTCCTGGCAGATCGTGGTTGAATGCTTCCTCTAGGCGAAGGCTATCCGGCAAGACAACCTTCCTCTGAGCACTGGTCGCAACAGGATTGAGTTCAAGCCCTGTAAACAGGTTTGGTATGACCTCGGCGAGAAGAAATGGGATTTCTTGTGAATCTGAAGTCAATGCCTCAGCAGCTAGGCGGAGGACTTCTAGAAACTCGATGGCTCGCTCTTGGACATCCAAATCAGGATGGGCTGCCAAAACCTCGAGGAACTCAACGACTCGAGCAAGTAAAAGCGACATTTCACTTTTCCAAAAATCTCCTTGTTGGCTGGTTTGGCTAATCTGAACAAACACCTTTGGAATGGCTTGCAAAAAGAGGGGAAGAGTTCTGGAGGGAAGCGATGCATTAGAGATGTCAATCAATGACATTAGTGTCCCGTTAGGCGACAGCAGGTATTCAGCATATTCCCCGACAACCCAGGCGATGGGGCCTAGAACACCATCGCCGATAGTCGAACCGGAAGGAAAAAAAGTTGATCTATTGTCGACGAATATGAGAGACTCGGCTGCTCTTGTGGCCTCCATGCGCACACCTTTCACTCTTACAGCAACATTGCGAATCTCTGTCCCTATTCGGAGCGCAGCGTTCATCCTCACATTGGGTATAGCCTCTTGCTCTTTCGGATGGGCCCAATCGTCTTCACTCTCCAATGGCGGGAGAAGTCCGACTAGCTGTACTAACACAGCGACATACCACTCAAAATCAAGAATTTCAGAGTAATTCTTTTGAGAACAAAGATCCAGGATCCGGTGGATAACATCTGTCTGGTAGTCGCTCGGCCATAAGGTTGGGGCGTTAGGGCTTTCGGGGCTTTCAACAAATTCAGCTGCAGGGACAGAGGCTCTTTGCAGTTGATCTAATAAACGGTTCACCACTAGCTGGAGAGAATCACTGCTGACCATTCCAGCAGCAAGCTCTAAAGCCTGCAATCGAATGGAAACGTCCGCATCATCCAGACAATCCATAATGACGTCCTGCTGCATGGAAACCAACGTGGGGTGTGTAGCAACAATGCGGTTCAAAGCAAGAAGTGCGACATATTTGACTGCCACGATGGTCAGCAATCATATATATAGAAACGCGATGAAATGATACTCACGATTAGGGTCACTATCCATAACTATCATACCCCGCAATTTCCCAACACAAAGGGTGGCAACTTCGTCCCTTTCCTGGAGATTCTCTTCTCCATCCAAAATGCCTCCTTGGATGATGCCATTGATACATTCATAGAGCAAAGACATTGCGGAGGTTGTTTGAATAATATTCGTCAATGGACGCAGGAGTTTTCGAGTTAACCTTGGCTCTAGTGGGGTTAAGGTTGCAAACTAGAAAAGTCAGCGGATACACAGGAGACAATCATGCCATGGGGCCGGAGGCATAGGGGGACTAACAAGTTTGATGAGTTTGATAGCCATCCAATTATTGCCGCTATCAACCAGAAGCTCAAAGAATCGAGGTGCCAGAGGTAGGAAGTCATGAGGTCGTCGCCAACCGAGCTCACAAACGACGTTAATCGCCGCAGTAGTGACACTTCCATCTTCTTGATCGTCCATCAAATGGTCTTTTATCTTGGGCCATGCCAACTTCAGGGCTTCGGGATACACCAAAGCAAGTCTATAAAGACAGACAACCGTTTTCTTGCGGACCACAGGACTGGAGTGTGAAAGCCGGGAAAGTAAATCAGGAAGCAAGGACATTGCTAGGGAAGGTGTAATAATGTGCGGCAAAGTGATCAGAGGAAGTGACATGTTGGGAATACTAGAGGTGACAATATCCTGTGAAGAGCATTAGCGACTAAGGGGAATTTGAAGCCAGGCAAAGTACAAACCTTCTTCAGCAAATTTGTTGCCAGCATTAGCACTTCAGTGTCTGGTCGAAAGCTCTGTACTGCTCCGAGATACCCGACTCTTTTCTGGAGGTATTTGGCGGATGACATGACTTCGAGGACGTGAAAAGATGCCCATGACATGTCATATCCAAACATTTCAAGATATATAAGCTTCAACAGGGCTGTGGCCTTTTTGTCTACTCAAGATCAACATCAAGTCCATTTCCGAGTGAATAGGTGGGAGTAAGTACCCATGTCTTGTGTTTTAATCTCAGCCTTGCATTCACGCAAGGAACTCTGGATGTATTCATTTTCTCCCCCTTTATGCCCCCGGAGACCTTTGATAAGGTCGTAGAGCGACTTTTCGAACCTAGGGTGCTGAAGATTAGTGTTGGCCAATCTGGGAGGAGAAACATGGGGGAGTGCCCACATCGTGTCGGAGCTATCAATCGTCACAAGCTCGAGTCAAGAGAAGAATAATAATGAAGCCCCCTGGTCAGACTGGAGGTGGATTGTGAATTGGGCTGGCAGATCAGCCATAGTTCACGAGAATGAAAGATGTAATTGAGTGCAAGCAACCCCAGCTCCGCGGGGTGGACAGTTGACGTTTGGGGGTCCCCGATAAGGGATCACGGGACTGTGGCCAACTAAGCTCCGGTGCACTCTGTTCACTTAACTGTCTTAATTGAATCACCACTACTCTCTCAACTTGCACTTTTTTTTTTCAAAAGAAAAACTAGAAGTCTTTCGGAACTTTACTTTCATTTTTCACAGTCAATTATGGCTAGTCCAGTCACTGATATCCGCGAGATCAGCGGATCGGATCTAATCTCTGCTCTTCATCTTGCCCAACGAGCACCAGCAATCCTTGGCCAGGAATCCGGGTCTGCGGCTATTTCATCCAAATCTTCAGACACCGCAGATTATTATGCACGATTAGAGCAGCTTATGTTGGTCTGCCTTCGGACGGGAGATGACCAGTCAGCACAGACCTGTCTGAATCGCCTCAGCCTCCGGTTTGGACCCTCTAATGAAAGGATTATGGGGCTTCGAGGCCTGTACGAGGAGGCAACTGCCAAGGATGAGCCGGCACTAGAAAAATGCCTGCAGGAATACGACAACACCCTGTCACAGAGTCCGGTTAATGTGGTTAGTATTGGTTGCAGGACCTGAGGATTATAGGCTATGCAAGACTAACCATACACACAGCCCATTCTGAAGCGCCGGGTGGCGTTGTTACGCTCGCTCAACCGACCATCTGACGCGATCTCCGGTCTTATTCAACTCGTCGATGCCATCCCTACCGATGCCGAAGCCTGGTGTGAACTAGCCGACTTGTATCAGTCACAGGGGTTGGGTTCCCAAGCCATTTTTAGCCTCGAAGAGGCTTTACTCATTGCTCCCAACTCGTGGAATGTATGCATCATGCACTTTTTTTTTTCTTTTTTTTTTTTCTATCTTTGGATTACGGTCACTGACATAAAATGTAAGATTCATTCCCGCCTTGGTGAACTGCTATACACCTGCGCCTCCGACGGGGACGCATGCAGGCTCCTTGGGAGGTCAGTGCAGCACTTCAGTCGAAGTATTGAACTGTGTGATGACTACCTACGAGGGCTCTATGGGTTAATTTTGGTAGGTCAGCAAATAATCATACAAACTCCTTCCATTCTAACCCAACTTTTTCCCCGGTAGGCCTCAACTCGGATTCTTGACAATGATTACGCAGGCGTATCAGGTCAACTTTCCAAGAAGACCCTGGAACAATTGAAGGCCTTTGCGCTCCTGAAGTTGGGCGAGATTGTTGAGTCACGGTCTGTCGATGACCAACATTGGGCATCGAGTCGAAGCGAGCTGATTGCAGCCAAGGAGTTACTGAATCGCCAGTGAAGTAATATTCAGGCGGCTTAAAACTAAGCCTTTGATTTGGCGAGAATACCCTAATAAAAACAAATCTGTGATTCTAGAGTGTTCTATATGTAAGGAGCAATGTACATAGTATAATGGAATATGAAGTGGGTAAAGAGTACGGAGTATATATATAGAGAGATATTGGGCATTTTCGTTTGGGCAGATATGTCAAAAAAAGTAAGTTAAAAAAAAAAAACAAAACACACACAAAAAAATGCCCAACGGGCCTAATAATAAAAGTCATGATTTGAGAATTAAAAAGAGGACTCTTCTTTCTTTTTCTTTTTCTGCATATATTATACCCTAGAACTTGTTGTTTTTCTATATATACTTCGTGTATCCGTACTCCTACTTTTTTCTATCCCTCCTATCCCTCCTATCCCCGCGAAAGGATATATTTTTATTCGTTTTCCTCTCTTATTCTTCTTTTATTCCTCTCTATCAGATCAAGAGAAAAAGAGAAGAGAAGTAAAAGAGAAGGAGAGAGACTAAAATAGTTCGGAACAAATCCCCCGCGATCATTTTCACCTGACGTTTTCTTCCTCTCCAAATTTCTTTCTCCCTCTCGCACTGGTCAAACCCTACTTGGGTATTCCCTCCTCACTTCGCGCATATGCGAAAAGAGTGAGAGGACAAGTTCTTCATATTATATATATATATATATATATTCCCCGAGGCTCTCACTATCTCTATGACGTATGTTTGGGGGGGGTTTTTTTATTATCCCCTTTCCCTATCCCTACATCATCTTCTCCCCCTCCTCCCCTTCTTCAGGTGAAAAAAATAAAGCTTCACTTTCTCACCCTCAACTCTCTTTCTCTACAGGCTCAGTATCTCGATTGATCCAGATCCCCACGGTTCGGATCAGTTCCTTTCCGACGACGAGGGCTCGTCTGGTGTCCATGTACCTACATCTTCCGAGTTCGATAATGAGTACCAGGATTATGATGAGTGGGCGCATTTGCCATATCCGGATGAATTGAAACCATCTGATTCAGCCTCTCGACCAAGAACTTCGAACCGCAGTCGTCCGCCCCACGGTTCACGCTCCGCTTCGGGCCGTCGCCCAACATCGCGACGTATGGTTCCAGAACATCAGTCATTCGGCCCTCGAGGCCGAAGACAACAATCACCAGATTCCCCAGATAGCGCCGATTCGGCCGACGAGTACCCTACCAATTTTGGTCGAAATGATCGGAGAGGTTGGCAACAACCCATGCCACACGCCCCTGGATATGCTCCCAGCCAGTCCTCTGGTCCATCTTACACTCCCTACCCTCCTCCTCCTCCCCCTGGCCATGGCCCCTATGCCCATCCTCCCCCGATTACATCAGAGCTCATGAGAATTGCTCATCCAGGCCAATCCAACCCCTACGGTGCTCCTCCTTTTGGATACCCACCTCAATTTCAACCTGGGTCTCATTTTCTTCCCGAACAACCTCAACTTCATCCACGACATGCGCCTCGCCAGCCACCTCAGATGCATAATCCAATGCAGCCGCCAATGCCGCCAATGCCGCCAATGCCGCCAATGCCACACGCGATGGGTCCTCACGGTGCCCACTCCCCTTACCCTGGATATCCTCACGAGTTGATGACCTATGGCCACACTGGTTTCTATCGAGATCAACCCAGCTATTTCGGGGGACCGATCCCGGGCATGATGCCTCCTCATTATTGGCCACCCTATCCCCCAGTGCCTTCTCCTCCAGCGCAACCCGAACCCAAATCTCCCCCCCCAGCGCCCGCGCCCGCTCCCGCTCCCGAACCTGCTCCGGCCCCCGCCCCTGCCCCTGAACCCGCCCCTGCTCCTCCTCCCCCTCCACCACCACCACCCCCGCCGCCGCCTCCTCCCCCTCCACCAGTCGACACTGCCAAAGATGAACAAATTGCGAGGTTAGAGAAGTTGATTCTGGACGACCGTCAAGAGCGGGAAGCGAAAGAGCTTGCGCGCGAGGCGAAAGAGCTTGCCAAAAAGCAGGCTATTGAACGCGCGGCCGCTGAGAAAGCAGCCCAGGAGGCACAGATAGCGCATGATAGGAAGATCACCCTAGAAGCTGCGGCGCTTGCTCGAGCGGATGCCGAAAAGAAGGCAGCAGAGGATGCTGCAAAGGCTAAGGAGGAGGCGGAGAAAGCTACGGCCGCGGCCGCTAGTGAGGCAGCTGCTGCAGCGACGGCTGCGGCTAATGAAGCAGCTGCTGCAGCGACAGCTGCGGCTAATGAAGCAGCCGCCAAAGCAGCCGCTGAAGCCGCTGAAGCCGCTGCTAAGGCCGCCGAACCGCCGCCACCACCGCCACCCCCGGAGAAGAAGCAGCCTATCAAATTCAAGGACGCTGTTGGCAGGAAATTCAGTTTTCCATTTGAACTATGTGCTACCTGGAAGGTAGGTTAACTCCTGTCCATTTATATCGTGTCTTGTTCTAACTTCGGTTGCAGGGAATGGAAGAGCTCATCCGGCAGGCTTTCCTCCATATTGAAGTCATTGGACCTCATGTGGCCGAGGGCCACTATGATCTTGTTGGTCCGAATGGCGATATTATCCTCCCACAGGTTTGGGAAACTGTGGTCGAGCCTGACTGGGCTATCACTATGCACATGTGGCCAATTCCCGAAAAGCCAAAAGAAGACCCTCCCCCCCCTCCTGCGCCAGCGCCAGAGCCAGAGCCTGCCCCGGTAAAACCGCCAGATCCACCTGCCGAGCCAAAGAAGAAAGCGGATGGTAAGATTTTCACTTTCAACTACTCACAGAGACATGCGCTTACCTTTTATCTAGCCCCTAAAAAAGGTAAGGCCAGAGGACCAGATGTTCCCGGGAGTTTCGCGATGTGGATGTTGGGTGGCACCAATCGCCGGGGAGGCAAAGGGGGTCCTAAAGTGGAAAAAAAGCCTGATGCCTCTTCCCCAGCAACTGCACCATGATAAATTAGTTTCCGCCGATCACCCTGCTTGGTCTGATGTGATGATTGGATTGGTTTCAGATCGCTTTTGGCCACTATACCTATAGACCTTCTGGGCAACAGAGAGGCATAAACATCGCTTTGCTAATACCGCTTGGAACATGATGACGAATATGATCAATGCCTGTAGTATGTTATATGACATCCACTTTGAATTGCGCCTAAGACTGATATCAACTCAAATATGATTTTTAAGATACCATATTTGCTAAAGTAACGTATTTCACATGCGAGCGGCCACCACAAGCGAGTGGCCACCCCACCCAATTGTATTAATTTTAAATGTATTTATCTCAACCAAAACGCTATCAAATTAAATCCACTAAAATCATCTATCTAGCTGGATATCTATTAAATCTATGTCCAGTCTCTCTGTATCCACTACACCTTGGTGTAGCCCGCGTACGTGGTTCCAAAGCCGGTTCTTTATATATACCGGTACTAGATGGAGGTGCTTTATCTGCTTCTACCGGTGTAGTAAGCAATTGAGAAGCTTCCTATACTAATAGGCCTACTTCTGCCTATATCTACCTCTGGGATCTAGCTCGCTTTCACTTCTTCTTCTCGTTTTCCGCGCGTAATTCCTTGTTTTCTTTCGCTAGCAAGATAGCGCCTTGTATTATAAGACGGAAGCCTTTTATAAACTGGTTTAATATACGATCCGATAGGCTAGGCGGACTTCGAGATCTTATACGAAGTAAAGCTTTAATTAACGAAGCTTATCGGCGTAGTTCTTTCTCTGTAAATAGAGTTTTTAGGGTGAAATTCGGGCTTAATTCGCTCCCCCGGCTTAGGGGGGGGGGGGGGGGAGGGGAGAGATAACCCTAGCAAATTAGCCCTATACAGATCAGGTGATTTTATAAAGGCATAAAATGGAAGCAATAATGCATAGATTAATGTGGAGCAAATCATAGAAGTACTCTGTGGCTAGACTTCGGCACAACCCACTCTCACCCGGACCCAACCCAACCCAACCTAATCCAAAATAGGTTTTGGGTCTATTGCTTCGACCTAACGATAGGTTTTAGGTTAAAAGCTATAACCCAAAACCTATTCGGTAACCTATTTGAGAAGAGTAGCAGTGTCTACAATGAAGATATAGGTGTAACTGGAAAACTCTTATTCGCGTAGAGAGAGAAGAGAAGAAAAGAAACTATCTAATAGGAGGATAGCTAAAGCTAGGAGAGTGGGGCGGTCATATGACCACCCTCAACACTATTGGGGCCCCAATATAGTGTAAACTAGACAAACAGACTTCTAGCGTGTAACTGTATAATTAATATATTTTTTACTTATAATATTGAGTATTTTACTTTCAGCGCTCTTCTAGAAAAAATAGAGAATAAATCAAATAATTAAACCAGTATATATTTCTCTAATATTGCTCAAAATCCTTATCTACCCTACTCTTACGCTTCCTCCCTAAGGCCTATCTCTAAGTTACAGTCTCTAGTAACTCTAGCTCTGTTACCTCTATATCTATATCTATTAAATAAGGAGATATCTCTCGCAGTCTATTATCTACTCCTTCTTCCTCTTTATTATCACTAATTAGGTTAAGCTCAGTATCCTCTGTATATTTATTGTTCTACTCCTTCGCTGACTTAATCTTAGCTAGTATAAAGAACTACTTAAGCTGCTTTACCTTAGTATCCTTAATATTAAATCTTATTGTATATAGAAATAATATAAACTCCTCGATTGTTTCGGACTTTAGATAACTACAGCGGTAGTAATAAATATCCTAAGTAGTATTAAAGAGCTGTTCAATACTAGTACTAGTTACTAGGATAGAGAGAATATTGTAAGTAAGTAACGTAATCGTAGAGAAACGAGATTAGTTCTCCCGCTAGAATTAAAGAGGTTTAATATTAATTAGATCTAATAGTATAAATATATTAGTATTATCCTATATAGGGAAGAAATAGATTATAAATATACTACTATCGAGATATTAAGTTATCTTATTACTAGCTAGTTTTATAGATATCTTATTACTCTTTAGTATTATATTTAGCCTAGAACTAGATAATACTATCGTTAGAGTATTAGTCGATCCTTAATTTATTATAAGGCGCTCTTAATATAGAATCAATAATTCCTAGAATGATTTCCGGTAGGTATTACACTAGTAAGGCTCCTAATTATTAGATAGAAAGAACTAAAATCTACTATTAGGTACTAGTATTATCCTAACTATATAGATAGGGGATTAATACAGGGACCCCCCCCCCATGGCTAATGCGACCCCCCCCTTGGCTAATGGGACCCCCCTTTAGCTAATGGGACCCCCCCCTGCCTGATTTGTGCCTTATCCTGCCTGATTTGTGCCTTATCCTGCCTGATTCCTCAGGTATTAATATATTCTGCCAGATATTCTGCCTACCATAATAATTCTGGTCTATATAGTAAAGAATACACCTTTATACTCAGAAAAAAATGCTTATTTCAACTGATTTATTGCTTTCTAATCTTATATAACTGTTTGTTCTGTATCAGACTGATTCTCCAGCACCCCCAGTATCCTCGGTATCTATAGCACTCTGCCCGCGACTGCGACCGCGACCACGAGTCCCCCGAGCAGCAGTGCCTGTCCCCCGAGGACGCCCCTATATACGCCCCCGGGGTGTACTACGAACCTATCCCCGGCTTAATTCCTATAATAATAGATCCCGATAAATAGAGGAGCTTTCTTAAGTTTAGGTTAACGGATCGGGGGAAGACTAAGTGTTCTAGGCCTAGGTAGCCTGTATCTCAGTTACCTAGGTACTTCCGAAGTTCCTAGCGCCTCGGGGCCGTCCTTATCGACGTACACAAAGGGGATCTTAGACTAGAAGTAGGGGATTAATAGGGGGGGTATTATTTACACTGTATAAGTGCCAATACTGGTGGTAAAGGCTTAGTTTAAGCGGCTTTTTCTTATTATTATACGTCTTGATAAGATAGATACAGGGAAATCCAGCGGTATTCTTCGAGTTACAGTTATAGATAAGGGGGATTGGTTACTTCCTATCTACCCCTTCTGGTAGATATCTCTCGTAAATATCCTTTATAAGTTGAATCGCCTTTGCTGAGATATAACTATAAAGAAGTTAGTAAAGCTTTTTACGTTGTATTGGAGTATATATCTTCTAATCTTCGATCTAGTACTTAATCTTTGCGAATTGACTATCTACAGTGCGGGTAAAGCTCCGGAGTATAATAAGTAAATTGTTATTCGAGATATATAGCCCTAATTTTAATAACTAATATACACTCTTAGTACAAGAGGTGGCTATCTTATCTAAATAGAGGTATTTCGCAGTGTAAATATAAAGAAAGTACTTAGGGTAGTTGTCTAGCTATTCACTCTGGATATACTCGATTAAAGGCTAGAAGATCGGATCAGAATACCGCTCTTTGAAGTATACCTACTAGCGCTCGTATTCTTTAACAGTAATAGTATAAACGACCCGATTCTAGCGCTTTAATATTTTCTTCTAGCCTTCCTCGACTTTCTTACGGTCTTCTCAGAGCTATATAGCAGTACAACGTTAGGATTGAGAGGATATAAGGGTATTATATTGTACCTAGGTAAGCTGATCAGCGAGAAGTAGACAGGTATATTTTATAATATTTATATTGATATACTAAATATATATTATATACTTAGTATTCGGAAAGACAGTCTTAATAGTATTTATCAATACTTTCTCTTTATTAGTCAGAATTGTATACAGAGGATTAAGACTAAGGGACTTATAGACTTCTGTAAGGCACTTAAGTATAACTTTGTATAAATCATCCTTCTTATCCTATATAAATACAAAGGTAAGGTAAAAGATTTGGCCTATTACTGCGAAGCCGACGATATTAAATAAGGGTAAACAATATCGATTTATTTTATAGGTATAGTCTATCAAAATAACCTAAGGGTTTATTTTAAGTATCTTAACGCTTATCTTATATATATAGAATAAAGCAGTAATATAGTTTTTATCGTCGAGCTTGTACTTAAATATCTAGGAACTATCCTTCGGTAGTTCTTTAAGTAGCGCCTAAAGCGGTGTACGACCAGTAAGAAACCTTATATTTAACTTTATCCGGGTATTGTAGATATTATAAGAGATAAGGGAGCTTTCGGGGTTAGCCTTACGTATTTCAGTAAGGATTTAACGGGTCGTACGTCCTTATTTAAGCGTATTCTCTACCTTATCCTTCTTCCGAGAAAGTTCGAGAGCCCGCTGAGTAGTATAGGTTGATATTGGCGAGGGGGGATAATTATATATAGGATTCTTAACAGTAAGATACTAAATATTGGTTTAAAGATTAAGCCTAAGGGTAATAGAAAAGGGGTATTCGTACGTAATAGTTATAGTATTCTGTCGCTTTTTAGGAGGAGAGCGATCCTATATTACCTTCCGGCTACAGTTACAAATAATACGAATCGTCTTTTTAACCCTACGTTTAGACTGCGACATCGCCCGTCCACGGTGGGCCTTAGGCTATTTGGATTTTCGAGTGCCCGTCCATAACGCCCAAGGCCCACGGGCATACCCACGGCGGGCATACCCACGATACCCACCATTGTATAAAGTCACCCAAAATGGACGTATAACTCGCTGACTTTGCATAATAAATAACTGTTATTTACACCTGTTTTGCCAACTCTATATAAAATAGCAGTTTTAATCTACAACATCTATAAATTTTACTAAAATATCTATATATATAAGAAACTAGTATATATATAATACGAATTGGAATAAAATTTTAATCGAAATATATTATATTGTGTGGTATTTTTATTAACTTATCAAATTATACTGTAACAGCTTAAAGATATATATTCAAGTCAGTGGTATATACCTAGTATTTTCTATAAGTAAAATACTACTTATAGATTCTACTTTATCTCTTACTCTGGTATATTTCTTATAGGTAGATCGAAAGATAATTAGTATAATTCTTATTTTATAAGCT